TCTGTTTTGGACTTGTGAACACACCTGTAATCTGTGGCAAAGCATCTGTCGCTTCATTTCGGATTTTTACTATGATGCTTTTTTACTTTGTTTGAAGGATGTATTGTTTAGGTTCACAAATTATACAAGAAATCTAGAAAACAACATTTTTTCTTTGTGATCTCATCATATTATTTGTCAAGTTTTATATCCACAAATGTAAGGTGTTAAAAACTAAACCTTCTTTTTGTACTTTTAAGAAGGAAGCAGAGTCCTATATCAAATCCTATATCATGTACCTCATGTAATAATAAAGCTGTAAAAACCTTCAATCTGTGCTCCAAACTTAAAATATTATTATAATTTTTAGTATACTTTTTAAAAAAAATCTTTCTTACTATACCTCTTTCAGTTTGTATTTGATTGTGTCACCTCTGTTTGTAACCCCTGGCGCTGTGCATATTTGTTGTCTGTCTTTGTTAATTATGTTGGGCTACTTCTTTTGAGCCTTACTTTCAATATGTAATGTAATTAATTAATAATAAATAGGTAAAAAAAAAACAAAAAAAAAACTGTGCTCTAGTTAATTTGTGGTATATATATATAAATGGACTTCGATGCAGGCTCTGGAAGATGAAGCCAATGCGGAAGTGTCTTAAACTTGTATTGAAGTCTATGGGAAAATGACTCTACTTGTCACTTGATTTGTTACCTCAGTAAACGTTTTCGTTATGTATTCATGGTCTGAATCGCTAGTTCTCTTTTCAAATTATGGTCCTATTTAAAATAAAATAGACGTTAAAGAGTTATTTTAGGGGCGTGGCTAGCGCATGATTGACACACGGGGGACCTGCCTGTTAATCCGGATAGATGCCGGAGCAATGTTTCGGGTGTTTGACTTGTCATTGTGTTTTCAGTTCATCAGTGTTAGCTCGAACATGTTGTTTGACTAAAAGTGTCTTGTTCGGCGTTCAGTTGTTCTAAAAGACACTCGGAGGAGTCGGCGGCAAAATTAGCATCCCTGTTTATATCACAGTTCAGGTGAAGATGCACCTTGCTAACCAAGCTAGCCGGCTAGTGCTAGCGTTAGCTGATAACTTAGCGATTGCTATGCTAACGGTACCTGGCCCCGCTGGGTTGATAACCTGTCAGCCTGGGTTTGCCCGTGGAGGTGTTCAATCAAAGCCCAATAAAAAGGTGAATTTAATCGACGTTAGGTTTGTGTTTCTCCACATGTGACCCAGGTTAAGTGATCTGCGTTAGTGTAATGCGCAGCGTTAATGTTAGTTAATACATTGCCCATCGAGACGTTGTGATAGTTCAAGTTAAGATAACGTCACTTATACAAAATGTGTAGAAAAATATTTGTCACATAGAAGATTAATTTAATACTCAAATCAGTCCTCAACTGAAGCAGACATTCATGCACCTATCCTGACATCTGATAGATGTTTGTGATTAACTGTGATCCACCGCATCTTAACTCAGGTGTTTGTCTTTTATTGTCATTTGAAAGGTTTCCACACTGTGAAAACTGAGTGATCTGTGCCAACAGGAAGAGGACCTCATGTACAGAGCAGCCCGCTTGTTTCCATTCATCTGGTTGTGGAGAAGGGAGACTGCATGGACATCCTTAGTTCTCAAATGTGCTGTGATGATGATGATGATGATGGTAGAAAACCTCTCCCAGTATAATCAGTGCAACGACTGACAAACATTTCAGGTGGTGATATTGACGTTGTCGACAGACGTTTTAGCGGTTTACTAGGATTGTGTCTGTTGCTCTCGGCTGTTGTACAGCTAGTGACGTCAGTAACTTTAGGCTCATCTTGTAACTGATGACTGTAACTTGAGATTGTATGGACCCAGTAGACCGAGTGAAAACACGTCGATCGGTTCACCATGTTGTAACCACTTTACATTTCTGTTAGGAGATCAGCCATGATTGAAAGTGCACTAGGTCTTTACATTTCTCAGCAGATTTCAGCATCCCTCTGTCTTTATCAGGACCTGAGCCAGTACAGATGCAATACCGCCTCCACCTGTCTCACCAACGGCAGAGTCCAGACAGTGAGGAGGGTCTAGGTGAGTAACATGCTATCATTCACTTTTAACAGTAAGACTTGTCTATACACCTGTGATTAAATCAGACCCACAGTGTAAACATGTTCATACTGATGATTCTTAATAATGGATATACCACTGCCAATATTGGTTATGTATTTTACGGTATATCCATATTTATATTACTCAATTTGTTGATATAGTGTGTGTACACTGAACTATTTTGCACATCCCCTAATCAATACCTTTTGTACATCTTGCCCAGCAAGAGTTTTGTCATTCTAAAACACTTTTGTACATAGTTGTGTAGTATTTTATTTTATATGTATATTTATATTTGACTGTTGTAGTATTTTACATTTTTATTTCCTATGAATACGTTAATTGGATACTACACCAAGCCAAATATCTTGTAATTGAAAACCTACCTGGCAATAAACCTTATTTCCTGAGTCTGCCTTTGTGATGATGTCATCATCCCTTCCTCATGCTGCTATAGCCTGCCAAGGCCCCCCCCATGTGACCTGCAGTATCCCCTTCCCTTCATAAATCTGCAAGTGTATGACACTGAGTCCAGTGTTCCCTCTTTTAGCTCTGTGTTTGGTCTCCTCCAGCTCCTGAGGGAAATCTGTCTCTTTAGCTTCTTAATGCTCCACTATGTTCAGCAGCTGCTCTCGGACCGTGTCTGTCTGCTGTTTGCTGCTGAGGAGGTCGTGGACAGACTTTTACTTCACAGGTCTTTTTTCTTTTCTTTTTTTTATTATATTCTTAAATTGCATTCACCATGGCCTGAAAAACTTTCCAACACCAAGATAGAAAGTTAAAATGAGCGCAGTGCAAAGACTGGACATTGACTGTTTAGTTTCCATTGGGCACAATGCTGTTACTGTATGTAAGAATTAATTTGTAATTTGAGCTTTTTTATTCTTGCAGCTTATATCATGTGCTGTTGTACATGATGTAACGATGGGCATCGTTTGAGAAAACTAAGGTCATCACATGACTCACTGTCACAGGGGGAGGAGCCCTGGAGAGAGATCAGTTTCTCCTGAACCTCAAGTTCTATTAGTAAGTTATATGAGGAACAAAGTGGTGTTACGAGATGAGACGGACTGTTCAGGACATCCAGCACCAGTTACACAGTGAACCTTTTTAAGACAATCTGCAGTCACTTATTTCTGCCCCATTAACCCCCATCACCATTCTGTTCAAAGGAATGCATTTTATTAAGAGTTGCTGTATATTGGGTGAACTTTAAAAAAAGGGCTGATTGGTTTTAGCATTTGTAAGTGTCCTTGACTTTTAGTTTTGATTCATATGTATTGGGTGAACCTGGATGAAACTAATGCAGTATAATGGAACAGGCCTGCAGTAAATCCTCCATGAGGATTATAATGTTCAGTATTTACTGAATCAAGTNGCATTTTATTAAGAGTTGCTGTATATTGGGTGAACTTTAAAAAAAGGGCTGATTGGTTTTAGCATTTGTAAGTGTCCTTGACTTTTAGTTTTGATTCATATGTATTGGGTGAACCTGGATGAAACTAATGCAGTATAATGGAACAGGGCTGCAGTAAATCCTCCATGAGGATTATAATGTTCAGTATTTACTGAATCTGTTTGAGAAGTGTTGGTTTATTTTAATGGTCATTGTGGAGGCTGTGATTGTAATTGTGGTAATGTTTAAGTGTAATATACTGAGCAGTGTTCCTAATATTTTGTCAAATCTAATTCCTATAAATGGGATGGACAAAATATTAGGAACACCTCTCAGTATAGGGTTAGTTTATATACATTGGTGTCCAAAAGTCTAAGACCACTTTCCCATGTAGCCTCACATGTTGCTCTATAGCAGCTCTAGTATCACTCAGTTTTATTTACAAAGGAGAATAAAAGGAGCCAATAAAAACACTGAATGGAGTTCAGCAGGGTATCTCCTCAAGTCGTCGTGTCTCACATATTTCTCCTAGAGAATTTTAGGAGAAAAATACGAGAAACAGCATTTCAAACAAAATAGAAACTAAAGTGAAGCTGAAATGAGAATCAGTTTTGTCTCCTGAGCTGAAGAAGAGCAAAATTTCCTGGTTATGTGCCTGCAGTGCAATATCCTTGAAGGCATATTATTAATCTGCATACTACTTCGCCTTAGTCATCTTCTGTATCGAAATTTCAGCACGTAACTAGTCCCACAACTTTGAGAAAACCCAGACAATAAAGATATTCTTAGCGATTCGAGTAACCATAGCAACGTAAATGCTGGTAAAAGGCAAAAAAATTCCCATAGAGAATGAATAAGGAGACGTCTTCAAAATGACCAAACCCCGCCCTCTTTGGAGCTCTACTGCTGCAGATTGAAATGAGAGGAGTGAAGTACACGCACCAAGCAGCAGGAACATTAAAAATTTCTCCAGGAATTTTTCTAGTTTTGTTTATTATTCTGTCCTCAGTCTTCATAGATGTGATGCTGTGACCTCAGAGGTATGTATTCACCTTACACACTCTTTAGTGTGAACTGAACATTGACAGTTAAGATTTTGAAGCAGTTGACAGTGTAGTACAGCTCATGTAGTTTTATTCAGAACTTGTATTATTACTGTTGAAGGACGGACACATTTAAACATTTCTATCATGTCTGTTGTTGATTAAAGCAGACATTATAGTACATTTATTTAATTTTGAATACTGAGGAATACTACAGCGTTTCTGCAACTTAATTTGCAAACATTTGAAAGTCATGTTTTTCAAGATTTTATTTTAATGGTGAATCTGCTTCTTCCTGTCAACAGGAATAATAACACTTCCGGGTAGTTTTGAAAATTTTCCCCAGTCAAACACAGCATTCTTTCCCTTCTAATGAACATATGGTAGCCTTTTTTTATTTATTAGAGGATCTTAATCACAAAGAAATCTTGTCTAGTTGAGTTACTCTACTGAATGAGTTTGTTTTAGTTTTCCAAATCTTTGTCTATATGTTTCAGATTATTAGTAGAGTTTCCTGAATCCAGTGACTGCAGTGATGTCTAAATGTATGCGGTTACATTTCAATAAAAAGCAAACAATTAGATCCAGTATTTAGTGTATTTGAGCGCACGAGTGAAGTAAAGCTCAATTCTTTTAGTATCAATTTATTCTTTAAACTGGTTACAAAAGGAAAAAAAAAATAAAAATTTGGCAGTAACAAAACAAAACCGTTTGTTCATAGTGAACCAAAGCTTCAGTTGTACAAAGTAGTTTAAATAAAAAGGCAGCACTAGCTGACCTTCAGTCATTCATAGCCCAGCTAAAGAATATCCAGAAATTAACAGCTTTTCTCTTTAAGTGCTAATAAAACTACGGTTATATCAGTTTGATACTTTTCAGTATGATCTGTAGAATTGGTCTTTACTGCAAATACAAAGTGTGGATGAGCATATTTGCATTTTCCCTACATTCCTACCTACAACATATTACGATCTGCTTCACCTTCACCCTTTGTCCCTCTTTGTGTCCTCGCAGCTTGACTTTCATCTCACAGAATAACTCAATGACCAATGACCCATATGCCTTAAAAAATGGGCCCCTCGTATGATCCTGAACCCTAATGCACTCGTATAATAAACCTTTATGTGTAGTAAGCTGTCTGAATGGAAAAAAGGAAACATGGCATAATTCATGTTACTAGTTCCAGATAAGTCTCCACTGACACGTACGTCCTTGTGAAAGACAAATCTGTTTTAGTTTTAATTTTGTTTTTCACTCTTCTCCTATTGTAGCCAGTCCAGCTCGGCTATAGAGATGAGAATTATTACATTTTCTGTTTTCACACATGCACACAGACCTGATCTGACCTCCTTTGAAATTCCAGATAAATCCAAAGTTGATGGTGTTTCACTCACTTATAGTAGGATGATCTAACCCCTAAACGTTAATCCTCTACAGAGACTTGACCGTGGTCTGCTGCCAGATTCTTTACTCAAAGACTAGAGTCTAGATTGCACTTTGAATACACAGCACACACTCTTTATCTCTCCTCTACTGCAGCCTATCCAGTTCCACCCATGCTACTGCCCTCTGCTGGCTGTGGATGGCATTGCGTATGGCTGCCAGCAGCTCATCGGTGCAGCTCCAGGTGTTGGGCTCTAAGGTGTAGTAGAGCAGGGGCAGCGTCTCCAGCTGCAGCTCCTCGGCCTGGCACACTTCCTCCATGACGCAGTCCTCCCCACACCGTGGAAAAAACTTCCTATTTCAAATGTTTTTGGATATTTGTAAGGTAAGAACACACCTGGACAAACCTGAATGAAGTACCATTATACAGCTATGATCTGATGTGTACTGAGTGTAGCACTGAATTTCCTGCACTTACCTCAGCTTCTTGTGTTTTTTGTTCTTGGGGTGGATATGGATCACAATAGGATAAATCCTCTGTCTCAGTAAGCCTTCAACACTGGGCAGCCCCAGCTCCAGTAGACAGTGTTTGTCCTAGACGTTGACAAAAAGGGAGATTTAGATCATCTGTGCCGATGTACTGTATTGATCTAACCTACGACCACCCTTCTAACTTGTCCTTGGAGCAGACTCTGATTGTTTGGGTTGTTAGTTGAGATGATTACGATGAATGGGGTGCACTTTAGCGATGGGGAAGATCTAAATTTTGGGGAGAAATGATGTGTTTTTTTCATTACCTGGCTAATGACGTCCTGTATTGACTGCAGCCGTATGCCCAGAGCCTCCTCCGGACTGCAGGAGTCCAACAAGAACACGCTCTTGTCTCGTCTCTCGGAGGCCTGGATCGGCTCTGCAAACCACAGGAAACGTGTGAGGAATCATCAACCTTTTTGTATTCGCTGGGTTTTGTCAGAGTTAAATTCTTCATGTGTGTGAATAAATGTGTGTGTGTGTGTGTGTGTGTGTGTGTGTGGTGTACGTATACCTGGTGGGCAGGTGTTGAAGTTCAGACCAGACTCTGCTGGTTGCAGCAGTCTCTCTATGAGACCACGGGAGAGGAGAGACGGGGAGAAGATGACTGGCCGCTTCGTCTGAACCTGCACTGGCTGCACTAAACTGTAAGGGATCAAGTGCTCCTCGTGACCTGAGGTGACACACACACAAACACACACACTCACTCATTAATGCACACATACAGAGACTGTCACAGAAAACCGATGTCTTATTCAAAAAAAAAAAAAAAAGAATCTGGATCTTACGTTTGCTGAGTGTGTAAAGGACCTGCTGTGTGGAACCGATGCCACGGCCACCGGGACCCACTGCCTTCACCAGTCGTACACGGCCAGATGATTTCTTCAAGAACTGCATGTAGGAAAAATGCAGAAAAATAAACATCCGTTTAGTTGTGTTCACTGTGGTTACAAGTTCTGTAAGAGTTAGTCATTCCAGTACGAGCAGGTTCACCACCTTCTTCTTGAAGTCCTTTTGATCCAGGGCCATTTTTCGTAGCCGTACAAGTAACAGCTGCTGTGCCCTGAGATGGAAAACGGTGTAATTCAGGTTATTTATTAAAACACTATGAGACAAACCGGGCTAATGTTTGTCTTTCAGAGGTCTAACTGGCGTACCTGTTGTAGTTGGGCATGGTTCCTGCCTGCAGGGGCTTGGCTGTGAGCGGGTCCACAAGGGAACAGTGCCAGTGGTATTTCCCATCGTACCGTGTGTCTGTGACATGTATGATGTCATCGCAGGACACACCCAGAGACGGCGGGTCACCGTGGGGCTCCATATTGAGATTGACACGCACGTAGAAAGAGTCCGCCCCCATGAAGGTCGGTGACGACAGCTGGGAGCACAGCTGTGCGTATGCTGCCGACAGGAAGCAGAGGAGGGGACAGTTCAGCCTCACCTTACATGAAGCGATGCAACTTTATGTGTCATCGGGAGAGTTTTCAGTCATGCTTCAAATCTCTTAGATTACAGACTCACCCTCTGGGTTGCTCTGGTGTTTGAGTGTTGACGGCTCCATCCACCACTGCAGAGAAAAGTGGGCTACCTCAGCAGTGCACTGGCCCAGCAGGACACTGCCCCCACCGAACAGAACCCGCTCCAGCTGGAAAACATCAGCCCAAAACTGAACGTCATGTTACAGCCTTATGTTCTTACACTGCGTCTATCTTTTTCTGTGTCTCATTTTTGATTTCGTGTTTATATGTCGCGGCCCAGGAGCTTTCAGAAACTGAACTGCCATTTGTGTTTGTCCCATATGAGCACGAGCTGAAGAACCTGCAGCAAATATTCAATCACACGATTCATTCAACACACACACACACACACACACACACACACCTCCAGCAGCTCGCTGCCCTCCCTCAGTCCACATTGTTCCGCTGGGGATCCGGCTCTCACGTGGCTCACAAAGATCCCCGTTCTGTTTCCTCCGACTATCGTGATATCGTCGGCCAGACTGGCTCGTCCGTGCTTTGGTAAGGTGGGGGGGCTTGAAGACGGGGAGCAGGGGGGCATCCTGAGAGACGGGTGGCCGGCGATGAGACACGTACATTAGACAAATCTTACAAATGAGATCATTGATGTTTAGTGAGAGCTCCATCATTCTGTATGTGCTATAAATGAAACTTTGGTTGAATATTGAGGCTTAAAGAAACTTATTAATGAATCCTCTGATGTCAATGTCATAGAGGTTTTTACACATTACTATTATTGCGCAGAACGCAGCTACAAGTCAAAGTTTTGAAGTAGCACCTGGGAACACTTGGATTGGGTTGGTGTGAGGAGACTGTGGGCAGGTTGACCAGGTCAGGGGGGAAGAGGTGGGAGTGCAGGGAGTTCCAGGAATCCCACGAAGAAGGTTCAGTGTGTTCACCTACACACACACACACACCACAGAGCCTCATGACTTTCAGGCTCACAGTGTGTCACATGCAAAGAAAGTGTTTGTTTGCAGAGAAGACGGTGATGGTTGTTTAATGCAAATCGCGACAGAATCAAATGTACCTGTGATGTTATCATTCTCGTCACTGCCCCAGGAGTCCAGGTCGAACCTTCGCAGAAGAGGGAAAAAAAAGGATGTTAGTCAAGTGGAATAAAGGACAGGCTGAAGGAAAGTGTGGGAAAGGTTCATGACGGGCTGATAAACTCACTCTGTGTTGACCCGTCGGTTGATGGAGTTCATACAAGGAGGGAAGGGGAATGTGGAGAGCCGATTTATTTCCTTTTCATTGTCTTCTGTCTGAGGATAGAGAGATAAACAATTCTGACTCCTTCTTTCGTTCTGTCTGTATTTCGTTCACGTGTTCATTAATGAGCAGAGCTGTCACTCACTGAAGACAGGAGGTTCTCCTCTGAATTGGAACAAGAATCTGTGAAGGAGCAGAAACATTATTCAAATAAATAATGTAAATAACGCTCTCTAACTATTTTCCCAGGCAAAACTCAAGGAATCATCTTCCAGCTGTCGGTGCGCGACTCACCCTCCGAGTTTTCATTGGCTCGGCCTCTAGACGGCGTCTGTGTGCACAGAAGAGTCAAGTTATGGTGGCGTGACCTCACGGCTAATTGTGCATATGCTAACATGCTAATGCATTACAACATCTCTAAAACAATAACAAGATCCAAATCTAGCTGAAAGAAATTCAGCTTGCAGTCCAAAAGCTGCATTCCTCACATAGCAATAACAACAACATGAGAAAACACACAAAGCAGCTGTGTCCCGTGGAAATGATCCCTTACAGTCAACACAGTAGTTCCACTGTGTAAACAGCAGCTACAACTGCTTTGACTGACAGCAGCACCACATTCCTACAGTCAGGAGCCCTGATTCTGATTTAAATCATGACCAGGACAACGGTGACTCCACTGAGATGACAGCCATTAAAAGCCCTGACCTTTCTCAGCACCAGGTGGCTGCTGTTGGCCTGGGGGCTCAGGTCCAGGCCGAGGGAGCAGCAGGGGCCGTAGCACTGGTCCTCGCTGCACAGAGACAGGTGGGACTGGGGGGCAGACGCAAGGAATGATATATGTAATAAAATGTTGTGTGGTTTGCAGCGGGAAGACAGCGCAGCGCTCCCACGTTAACTCACACAGTGCAGGCAGTGGCCGCTCTGCTCCATTTGCTCCCGGTTCCGCTCCCTCTCTCTCTCTCTCTCCAGGTCCCTCTGCTGCTGCTCCAGGTCGGCCTGCAGCTCTGCGATGCGTTTACGCAGACGGTTCTTGTCCAGCAGACAGTCGGTGTACTCCAGCTGCAGGCTGTCCCGGCTACGCAGCGCCTGGCAACAAGAGAGGGGACGTTTGCATGGTGTAAATGTTAAGGCTAGTCAGGGATGCTGATATGGACTCGACCGGAAAAGTTAGATTTTTCAGGCATTGTTGAAAGCGCAGTGAGAGAGAAACAGGACGGTCAGGGGACGACATGCAGCAAAGGGTCGTAGGTCAGACTCGAACCCTCAGCCGCTGCAGTGAGGACTAAGCCCGTGTGGTGCGCGCTCTACCAGGTGAGCCACAGATCCACGGGCTAACGGTGAAGACTGTTACACACCGTGTTCAGCCGTGAGTCCAGGCCACGAGTCACACTGACCTGGTCTCTCTCCTTTTCCATTTCCATGATCTGGTTGAAATAGGACATACTCCTCTTCTGCTCGGTCTCCCAGTCCAGCTGGAGAGTCCTCACCTTCAGCTGCAGCTGCTCGCTCTGCGACTCCAGCTGCAAACACACAGCAGTTCACCATCACGGTCTCTATTCAGAGGCAGAAAAATCGTGTTCACAGCAGATTAATATAATGTTTAGGACGATGAGTGATAAGTGTTCACCTTGTCCGTGTGCTGCTCAGTGCTCTGCAGTTCTCCCTGCAGTCTGGCGATGATGTCGCAGAGCTCCTGTCTCTGCTCTGAAGCCTCCCTGCGGTCCTGTTGCAGGATGTCCATCAGAGCCTGAGGGAAACCACAGAAACAACATTTTTACGACATAAAAAAAGATCTTCATTATGAAAATCTTGAGGGACATATATATAAATAAATACTGTAGCATCAAGAACATACTATGACTCCAGTGGCAGGAACTGAGTCCCTCGTCCGAGTTTCTGTCCCCTCAGATTTGTGAAAGTCAGCGTGGTGCAGCGGCTTCTCTGGTAAAGCAGAACCATTTACTCCATTAGAGAACAAACTGTTTGTTTTGGCTGGTGAAGTTTTCTCTGGAGCCCGGACTGTTTGCTGCTCTGCCTCTGTCAGCCTGGACTTCAGCTCCTCTACCTGCACGGACACAGAAACACATACATTATATCCTTATGACATTTCACGCTTCGGCTTTTCTGCACCTGGCGTGTAAATACAACGCAGCTGTTTATGAACCTCTCCATCTTTAAGGATAAAATGAACCCAAATATGTTTCGCAACCAGGTGGTTCATACCTCAGCGGCATGGTCGACATGTTGCGACAGAGCATGAACCAGATTAAAAGGAGGCTGATAACATCACAGTTGCCTTGGCAACTATTTTTATGCTGCCTAACAAAACAAAACATTTCTTTTCCTTTTCCCATTCAGTCTACTGAAACTTAAAAATGTTATTAGAGTAGCTCTCCCTGTTTCTACGTAATGAGGAACTGTTCCAACTGCTCCACTGAAGTTTCCCAGGCTGTGGTCGTGTTGGGAAACTCACAGGTATTAATATCTGCAGGTTTAACGAGTTTAAGACCAAAGTGACGCTTTCTAACTCTTCTGAGGTACATTAAGTTTAAACGTATCAGTACACTTCCTGTTTTTTCCCACGCTGCACCTAACCGACCTACCTGCCTCAGGAGTTCCCTCTCTCGGGTGGAGGCCTTGCCTTGCTCCTCCAAGGCCCTGGAGTACTTCACAGCCTGCTCCAGGTGTCGGTCCTTCAGCTTCCCCAGCTCTCTGCTGGCCAGCTCGCAGTCCTGACGCAGCCTTCAGATCACAAACCATCCAGTGGACACAACTTTACTATTTCTCGTTGATTCATTTTTGTGTAACGATGTAAATATCGGTAAAAGGAAACAATAGTTGTATTATTGTAGATGCTCATGAGTTTAAATTCACTCACTGAAGCCGCAGGATGAAAGAATATTATTATAAAACATCCCTCTCTAAGTGGAAATAACGGGACTCAAGAGGAAGAAACTAATCCACCTGGAAAAGTTGGACCAACCTCTGGAGCTGCAGTCTGTCGTGACGTAGCTCCTGCGCTTTGCGCTCGGCGCGGCCGCGCTCGTCCTCCGCCATCCGGCAGCGCTGAGACAGGCGTCGCTCACACATGCGGCTGTTCCGAAGCTGCTCCCTCAGTTTACGCACCTCCAGCAGCAGAAACTGGGTCAAACCCTCCGGACCTTCCTTGTCTGTTGGAGTGGGAGAGAGAGAGAGAGAGAGACAGGTGGAGGTTATAAGGTCGACTAAGTGCCTGTATGTCAGCTCTGCGTAACACTTAAACATAAACCTTTGTGTTTATTCTATTCACATGTGACTGTCTTATCTCCTCGTGTATTTACTACGGGCCAATAAAGAACCATTCAATCAACTTTCCATGTCGATATCTCTTTCCCAAAGTCTCAGATAAAAAGCAAAGGTGACAGACTGGGAGTGTCCTGCCTGAGGAGGTCGGGCGTGCCGAGTTGATGCCCCGGTTTAAAACTCTACTCAAAACCTACTTGTATAAAGCAGCTTTTAATTCTTGATTTCAATGCTTTTATCTTTGGTTTCTACTTTTAGTTTTTAGTTTTTGTGTATTTGTATTTGCTGATCAACACGTTGCCTCTCTTCTCTGTGTCGTTTATTGCTTTGTTTTGTTTTCATGTTTCTGCAGCACTTTGAGTGGGATCAGGTCTTTTCTTTTTTTTTTTTTTGCAGATTAAAGTCTCAAGAACAAACTCACTTTCCAAAACGTAAACAAAAGTGTGTTTTCAGTCTGAAACCGAACGCAGTTTCATCACAACCCAAAGCTCTGGACACACTTCCTACAGATAAACAGGTATTTTTAAAAGAAAGCTCAAAACTTATTTCTTCACTTAAGCCTTTGCACTTTGCTCTGCACTTCTTTTAAATGTCTTCTTATTTAATAATAATAATACTTACTATTTTATCTCATGTTTTTAATGTTTTTAATTTTACATTAATGCTTTTAACATGTTTTTATGTTCATTTTATGTCTTTTCATGTGGAGCACTTGGTGCTTCATTCCTTGTATGAAAGGTGCTGTACAGATAAAGTTTATTATTATTATTATTATTATTATTATGAAATCATGAACGTGGTTATTGTCAGTAGCGTTTCATAGCATTAAAAATGAACATGGATAGTCAAGACAGAGACACCTGCAGAGGTGAGTGAAAGCTGTAACATCTGTTACAGGTTGTTCCTTCCTTCCACTTTTAATAGGCTTTTTTTTTTTTTTAATCATTTTTTGTTTTTGTTTTGATTTTGCCTCATATCTACATCACGTGACTTCAGTCTGCACCTTTGCCGTCCTCCCTGTGGAGACATCCCTGCTTACCCAGTATGAGGGAGCATCTCTGTGTGGGCTGTTCTCCAGTCAGCTGTGTGTACTGCTCTGGGTGGTAAAACTCCAGCGACTCCATGAAGGCCTGAAGCCCCCGCTGGCCCTGGACGCGCAGAATGTCCAGCAAACGACCTGTTGGACAAAAGACACACAGGTGCTCAGAGACACTGTGATAATGATCCCACTGCCTTCAACAAATAAACTGATGCACGCTCATGTTTGGTTCTGCAGAACTCTCACAGCTGAAACAGGCGAACAACAACACAGACGTGTCTCTGTCTCTTTGATGTGAGAGTCCTTCACCCCTGTAGTTAAGCAGGTATTTCAAACATGAACATGATGACTGAACTCACTGGCAGCAAAACAACAGTCTTTGCTCAGTATTTGGACCAGGTGCTCGTCCTCATCTCGTCTTTACTTGCAGCATCTCCCTCCTTCATCTTTATCTTCTCTCACTCCTAATAATTCTTCCCTCTCTGTCGGCCGTCACACTCCCCTTTACTTAGCAGAGTCTTTCATCTTGTACTCTCTCTCTCCTTGTGGTTGCTGCCTGGTTCTGGTTTATCTTTCCACATGTTCCTCTCAACCTGCACCTTACTGCGCAATCAATCACACATAATGTTTTACAAAAGAACCACACAGCTTCCACCGAGCTCCCAATTTCTAAAGCGCCTTGTGAGATTGTAGATTAGTTTCCGGTCTCCCAGTTCTCCCGTTTGCGTCAGTTCGTCTCGGTGAAGACCATGTTGCGTGTTGCCTGCACAAACCCCTATCAAAGTTGGTTTTATTGTTTCTCTTCTCCTATTGAATTTCTAGTTCCAAAGTACGTGGATGTGCAGATATTTGTCAGAGGATTCATCTGCTACTGAAGAAAACTCCAAATGTGATTATTCTCAGGCAAGTTCTTTTTTTCTCTGATTTTTAAACTGCTTTAATTGTGATTATTTGCAATATGCATCAGAGATTATGAAATCCTCAGAGGGTTTAAGTCACGCTGAATCTAAAAATGTGTGTATTATGAGGCTGGATGTTTGATTTACTGACTGACTCCTTCTTCCTCTCACCGGCCTTGCTGATGCGCAGCGGGTACTGCGTGGAGTTGAGCACCTCGTCCTCATCCTGTTCGTCGATGACCTTGCACTGCCGCAGGTACGGGGTGAGCTTGGCCGGGTTCAGGATGCGCGTGAGCTTGTGTCGCACTCCTTCCACGCGATCCCACAGCTCCTCACAGCGCTCCTCCGTCCAAGGGGGTGAAGATCGCACCTCCTCCGGGGCGATGTCCCCCTCCTCCGCCCAAACGGTGGCACCTGGAAGAGGCAGAAAAGGAGAGTGAAGGTGACGGGACGGTGTTATTCTTCACATTCAGTAAGATTCATTTGCTCAGCTTACATCTGTTACTGTGACTCGTGTCTCTTTCATTTCACATTTGAGGGACAGACTTGGACGCACATCTTACATCCAGTGCTAGACTAAATACTGTTTCCCATGGAGAATTCCACTGGAATTTGTTTTCGTCTCACTGCGCTTATCTGTATCTCTGCAACTGTCGGCCATCAGCAGTGGGTTGTCTCACCCTACTTCCATGCTTTCTAAACAATCACAGTTTGTTCGCTTTTTAACGCGAAGATAAGACATCACAAACAAACCTTTAAGTCAGGAACTTTTATGAGCTGTTTCGAAATTCCCCTATTTTCGGCCTCAACCCCTCTGAGGTCGCTGGATGTTTCTATTAATATCTTAGTGATAATACAGCGGAGAAATATGGTTTAAATGTTGTTAGAACCTGTCCACTCTCCACTTTCCCTTTCATATTCTGGCGAGATCGTACGTGATTCACAGCCTCTGAAATTTGGTTAATCAACACTATGACTCAGTGATATTACGAAATGTAATTGTAGGCATTTAATATCCATTTATCTACTATTTTACTCAAGTGTTGTACTATTTTTAAGAACCTGGTAAACTGGAACCTGGTTGGTAAATCCATTTCAAGCACCAAAACAATCCACCCTGCATCTCTTTGCACAGTGAAAGAACTGAGATTGTTCTGAAGATTGTGACATAAAACACTTTGGTATTGTGTGATATGCAAGTGTATTTTAAAAGGTGAAGTTTAGATTTAAGAAATAATGTAGAAATGGAGGAAAAGCCCTCAGACCTCAAAGGGTTTTGATGAGATTTTTGTTGCACGGCAATCGTCTTTGTCCAACACTGAATGGCTTTATAATAGAAGACATTCTCGTGGATGTACAGAGGATTACTGGGCTGATCTGCTGCATAGTGAAGGCATGAGGTGAGTGCTCCTCACTGGAAATCTTCCAAGGCATACTGAGGGGGATTTACTCCCTACGAAACACGAGTCTGACAAACGATCATTCAACCTGAAGCCACCTTCCTGACAGACAGCAGATACGGTGTTACATCCCACGTACACATGAAGACACGTGAAGAAGAGCTTCAGTGTGAGTTCATGTAACAGCAGCGGTGGTGTGAGACTGTGTTTAACTGTTATAGGGCGAAAGGTCTGCTGTTATGAGGGTCATAAACTTGTGGGAGAGACACTTTGTGGGTCAGTGCCTCAGAGCGCAGGAATGAAAATACTGGTGTGAGTCATGCTGCACACCTAAAAACACACCAGGGGACCGCAGACAAAGGCTTCCTCAGCCCCATTCACTGCACACTGGAGGAGACACAGAGGGAAAGTGGATAAACCTGCCACTGCTGGAGTTTGTTAAAAAAACCACCAGCTACATGGAACAGCAATAACAACAGAAGAGGTGGTTCCATTATCAACGATGCGAGGGAGGGAAAGCTTTTTCCACCTTTCCAGATCCAGTGAGGAATCGCTGAGCAAGGCTCAGAGCTGTAACAACACGAGCCCTCCAGAGCCGTGTTGATCCTCAGGCAGATTCCCACGTCTCCTCTTTTGTTGGTTTAACAAATGTAGTGAGTCTGCTGTAATCACAGACCGGTCCTGTCCAGCTGACATGCAGAGCAGTGCCTGTTTCCTCTCATGTTATAGTGTTTGTTTTCTGTATGTAAAAACTCTATTGATCTTTATTTGTGACATTTTATTGAATGAATTAAAACTGTAGAAAAAGCTAGTGATCTTTATCTTTAATTCTAATTAAAATTCTAGAACAAAAGTCAGTAAATCACTCAGTCATGAAAGTGTCCCTGTAGGTTTTGACCCTCAGCGTCTCTCTGTTGTTGCCCATCCAGGTTATTTACCAATACTGAGAGTGTGCAGCTGATCGGAGCTGCCTGAGCTCACAGGCAGGTCGAGGCAGGTCTGAATGCTCTGGAATCTCTGCATTTCTCATAAACCATCTGTTGAGACATTGTTCTGATGTGATCTGCCAATTACTTCCTCCAGCTTACACAAAACATAGTAGAAAACGCTCTTTACAAATTGGAATATTATGGAATATTACGGAATATAATCTGTATCACTAAAACTATCAATCTGAACTGTAAAATGAAGACTTGCTTTCAACTAATAGAAAATAAAAAAAATGAAGGAAACAAAAGTAAACATGTTCTTTCTACTGATAAGATAATAATATATTCAGACATATTCCATGAAGAAGGTGAATAACAAAAGCTGCTCATCAGAATTTGTCACAGATGTGTGTCAGATCTTTTATCTCTAAAAAGACAAAGTTTAAATTGTGTGCAGCTTTAATGAAGATAATAGAAAACATATAGTTAGTTTTTTCAAAATGACTAGTTTAGATTATTGTGTTGACTGTTTTGAGAGCTTTTATTTTGGAGGAATGTGTCGAATCAACAGAGAAAAAAAAATCTAACTTGACTCATGGATGCCAAAGTTAATATCACTAATAATAGTAGTAATAATAATAATAATAATAATAATGTCACCGGATACTTTATAAATAGAAATATAATAAACAGATGAATCCGTGCTCAACATTACATCATTACTGAGCGTCACATACCTGAGGATTGGACAGAATGTGGTTCATTATCGGGTGAAAAGTGAATTTGAAACTGAGTTTTAGAGACTTTACGTATCACTGATAATAGATCAATAATAAGCAACAGCACAGACCTGCCGTCAGCTAATCTGTCAATCACTCCCCGGTGACACTTTGTAAACGAACATCAACGTACAGAAAGAGAGAGAGAGTGAAATGTTGACTTACCGCTCATGTCTTCAACCTGCGTGAATATATGTCGAGAGACCAGGAAGGGAAATCTCAGTGTAGTTAAATCCTCCACATCCCATTCAGTCAGGAGGGAAACCGAGGAGTGAGGTCAGAGCGTGGAGGGGGGGCGCGTAAAGCACAGGTCCTCCTTTTACGCACACCTTGGCACACTCAGCTCCTCCACCTTCAGCCAACCGCCACCAGCCAATCGGCAGCCACGAAGAACGATAAAAAAAAAAAATCCCCACTCACCGCCGACTCATGCGGATTTCCTCTGTGTGGCCTCGGCAGAGGAGTGTCGATGAAAACATGATGTGTCTGTAGAAGACTTCGGCGCTAGATGGCGCTTTCAGCCAGTGATTCTCCTCCTTCAGAGCTGAAGCTCAGCGTCACAGCGGAAACACCGTTTCTGCCGAACATCCAGCGACCTGAGCCGGAGGCTGACAAAAGCTCACACAGGACTGTTTCTGAAACTTGTCAGTTTTCAAATGAAAGTTTGACACAGATATGTTTTTTATGAACATATGACTCACTGACACAGTGACTCACCAGGTGCTTCGCTGCAAACCAAGAGCAAAAAATAGCTCTTGTAAAACGACGTGAGTGACAGTTCAGCGCTGTAGGGCTGGAGGAGAGCAGGTGAGTCACCGGCGCTGCCAAGGGAAACCTGGCTGATCCCACACATCAACTCACCGTGACACAGAGTTTCATCCTCACTGTGTGTTCAATGTTAGTGGACCATGTCATGGCGCCGTCTCGTTCACTTCCAACATAATGACTGCAATTAACCCGCTGAAGGTCTGAGGCCATTTTATCTGTTTCTACATTATTTCTTGAATTCACCTTTTAAAAGGTGCGTGCATATGACGTCACACCCACGTGTTTATGTCACAGTTCTCAGAACAATCTCAGCTCTTTCTCTAACGAGGCCCTTCACTGTGTAAAGAGATTATTTGGCCCAAATGCTGAAAACCTGAAGACGAGTTTTTGAAATTCATGTGGAAAACAAACCTTTACTGATGTGTATGAATTGTTTTGGTGTTTGAAATGTTCATAAAAATAGAGCAATATATGATTGAAATAGTAGATAAATGCCCAAAATGAAATTTTGTGTGTCCTAGTGTCTGTCACTCTACTTTAACCAAATATTAGAAGCTGTGAGTCACGTGTGATTTCAGAAGAATGTGTGAGAAAGTGGAGAGTCGACAGATTCTAACAACATTTAAACCATATCTCTACGCTGTGTTATCACAAAGATAATAAAAACATCCATCCACCTCAGAGGGTTAAATTCATAAGTGACTATGAGCTGACTCAGAGCAGTTAGCTCATCCGTACCCGATACTGGGTTTAACCCGGAAATCAGATAAAGGCAAAAACAAGTGGCGGCAAGAGCATCCTGTGATGATCGCGCCGGTCATACTCTAAATCCCTTTGGCAGCAGGTGAAAGACTCGGAGGCCTCTGAGCATTAAATTCAATAAAGGGGAAAGAAAATGAGGGAACGAGGCCGTGAAGAGAAGAAGAATGTGTCTTTTTTTCTTGGCATGAGGACAGGAAACGCCTCCGGGCCTCCTGTTGGAGACAGTGTGGGTCACTGCAGAAAAAAGGAGACAGGATATATAATAGACTCGTCTGCCCCTTACGTCACAGGAAGCGTAGTTATAGGTGAGTGTTCTCAGACTTTACATCAGGCCTCGGTCACAAATAGTACGTGGTGTGCTGCAAAAGTAAAAGCATTAGTGACATCACTTGGTTTCACCCAGCCACTGAAGGATGTGTAGTTGAAGGCATCTCACAGAGCTCTGTCAAAGTAGCTGAGCAGTGTGCGCCATTAGTTTAAACTCAGGAGGCGATTGTAAATATCCAGTTCCAGCTCTAAACCAAAGACTAACTCATGATACACGATGTCGTGATTTAAAAACATAAGTGTGTAAAGGTGTGTTCAGCTGCTCCTTGATTCTGGCCGGTGCACGGGGACGGGGACGGGGACGGGGACGGGGACGGGGGGACTGATGTCTTTCACGCAGCAGGTCGTGGAAATCAAAGCTCAAGCTGATCCGGGTGATAAATAAACATCAGTCTAAATCTTTAATATTTCCACCCCACTCATTGTTTTTCCAAGCTTCTCGTTTGCGTCACTCAGAATTTTTTTTTGTTGACTCTGATGTTATTGATGTTGATTCCATGTTAAACAGGAAATTGCATGATGTTATTCTGGGATAGTTACAAGATCTCAACACAAGTGGCTTTTCTTGCTCAAGTTAAATCTATCAGCACAGCACTTTTGGAAATACATCTTCACTTTTAACACAGTACATTTCCCGGGTTGCCTGGTTTTCATTTTCTCACTCTCAACTTTGTCATAAAGCATCATGGGTATCTTGAGCACCACCGGCCTGATCAATAGAGATGCTGTCACAGTATCCTGCAAAGGAATCATAAATCATGGCAAAGATTTAAATCTGTCTCAATTACAGATACCCCCCCCCCCCGGTCCCTCTCGTCCCTCTCGTTCTCGGCCTCTGTTTTCCAAAAACAAAACAAAAAAAGCCAGAAAAGACACATTCTTCAGGGACACAAAGAGGCGATTCTGTGCAGCTTGAGTCATAGCCGGAGCCACGGGGGGTCAGCTGCCGGGTGAAGAGCCAGGCCTGTTGTGTGCTGGGAAGCATCAGAGTGGAACAAACATAGAAATGAAACCCACAGACGCTGCTGCTGGTTGAGCTGTACATTGTTGAATAGTTATAGGTGTGGGCGTATTTGAATTAATTCAGCTTTCTGATTTCATCGTTTGCTGAAGCAACATTTCTGTCTCTCTCTCTCTCTCTGACAGTCACTAACAATAATCACACAGATGTGAAGAGCAAATTTAAGACCCAAAGAGCAGCACGGATGGTTATCAGTCCCAACCGCTTCCTGTTGCCTTGAGGTTGCAGGTGAAATAAAATAGCTGCTGGATCTAAACTGTCAGCTACGTCTCCATGACTGTAGCGGTGTGACTTTCTAAGCCAAACAACAGTAAAAGTGTTCATCATCAGCCTTGTCTTGCCTTTTCAAAAAGAAGATGCTGAAGCCAACACCTGTTGTTGTTTGGAAGGAAAAGAGCTAAAAGAGCTAAAAAATGAAAGTGTATGGTGCACTGAAGGAATTCTGCACGGTTTATTTCTGTCGGACCGAGCTGTCACGATATCACACATTCCTGCATGAGCAAACTGTGGGGTCCAGTGCTGCCGTCAATGGCTCCTCTGTGTCGCTGTCACCTCAGAAACAACAGGAATGCTCATCCACTGCAGCCCTCCCTCCCTCCCTCCCTCCCTCCCTCCCTCTGCAGACCGAGGCCTGCACAGACTGTTGGAGGAAGGATGGCTCTGTCTGAAGAAGAAGAAGCACAAAGTCAACACCAGACACCCAGGCAGGGGGGTGGTGGCACATAATAAATAGAAGAAGAACAGAAGGAAGAAAAGGGCGAGCTAGAGGGACAGAGAGACAGACAGAGGCGAGATGTGAGTTCATGAGTCATAACTAAAGACAGAACGCAACATACGATAACAACACAAGACGGAAACTGAATTATTTATATGACTCACATTTAAAATCAATTACCGGACAAACAGGTAAAAACACATGGTTACTTAAAACCCTCTGAGGTCAGAGGGCATTTCCTCCATTTCTACATTATTTCTTAAATGCACTTTTTTAAAACGTACTTGCATCTCACATCACACCCAAGTGTTTGTCTCAATCTTCAGAGCAACCTCAGCTCTTTCTCTAACGAGGCCCCTCACCGTGTCGACAGATCATTCGGCCCCAATGCTGAAAACTTGAAGCTGAGTTTTTGAAATTCTTCAAATATCTTGTGAAAACAAACCTTTTACTGTTGTGGACGAATTGTTTTGGTGCTTGAAATGTGTTCACCAACGTCTAAAGGTTCCTAAACACAGAGCAAGATATTAAGATATTAATAGAAACATCCATCCACCTCAGAGGGTAAAGTTTTCCCAAACAGACACTGCTTCAAACTAAAGCTGTGTGAAAGAAAAAAAAAGAACCATAAATGTATTTATTGTTGGATTTACACTTCAGCCCAGAGTATGACATGTGTTTTTTACACATTTAAATACACCTACACACAGATCTACACACACACACACGACTTTGTGGTGCCAGTGTGAAGTGACGCCTCGGCCCGCTCCCCTTCCTGTCACTCTCCTTCCAGAGCGGTGAGGTTTGAGTTGACGTTTGAATTACAGGGTGTAGCGTAGCTGTCTAAATCTGAGCTCCACCACACATTTGAACTGCAGACATAGACGGCTTTACCGACCGCTGCACATCAGTTTCCAGATACACAAACTGCTTTTTGTTTTTTTTAAAAATGCGTCCATTGCCAACCGCACAGTAAAAGTTGCCCTGGAACAGGAACAGGGTCACAAACAGTCACGATAAGCAAAACACGTCTGTCTGTCTGTCTGTCTGTCTGTCTGTCTGTCTGTCTGTCTGTCTGTCTGTCTGTCTGTCTGTCTCCTGAAACCAGGATGTGTGTGGGTTTTTTTTTTTTTTTTCAGGACTTTCACACCAACATTTTGTCGGTTTTAAGTGTTTTAAAGTGAAAGCGACATAAATAACACAGTTTGGCTCATGTGATGTCACTGCCCAGCGGTGCAACCAGTAAAGGCACCTTCTCTGGAGATGCCAAGGTCAGGAGTTTCGAAACCCCACATGCATCATACATGTTGCCGCTAGCAACCATATTTAACCTCACATGTAACTGTTTGCCTTTAAGTGTGATGTCTGGATTGGAAATCTTGGGAGATGACGACCACATTTTCTATGAAGGGACACACATTTGCGACACTTCCTCACCTGCTGCTGGTTCACATTCCCTGCGGTTCTTAAATGAGCATCGACACCAGCAGGAGAAGCCGTCCTGTGGGGAGTGATAACAACAAAGTCAGTGTGGTAAGACGCTTCTATTTCAAGGTTTACACAACAATATATATGTGTGTGTGTGTAGAAAG